ATTCCTGAAGCAGATTCCAAAGGCAACAAAATAAGATCTAATGGAACAAGTAAAGGTTTATTCCATGCAGAAAAGAGAAGAAAAGAAACAATGTTTCGGCTGTGGAGCCTTCTCCAGGTGTCATGTGGTCGGGTGCCATGTCAAAATAAGATCGACTTCTTTAACATGTTCTTAACCAGTGTAGAGCAGTTCCTAAAAAAACATTGACTCATTCTCTAGAAAGATTCGTTAAAATGTCATTATCTCATGACAGAGGTCTCAAAAGCACACCATTTAAATCTAAAGACACCAAAACGGATGAGCAGAGTTACATGAGTAAATAATTCACTACTTTAAACAAAAAGCAGCCTCAATTAGGAATGGAGTGGAAACTTTATTAGATTTGAATTTTTTTTCAAGGCACTATTTCTATAGAGAACATTGTTTATTTGTTTGAAATGGCACCACATACCAACTTAAATTGAATTGATTTTTTTAAATTTGTTTAATAAGCATTTCTCGAGGGCAGTGTTAAAATCATCAAAAAATGTTCCTGCTTACAGAGAGTAAATCAGATATTATTGCATAGATTGCCAGATCTAGTGAATCAAGTGGACAGGAAACTGATTTTATCTGTATTATTGCATTTAGTTCTTGCATATGTATCAAAAAGAATGTTAATTGCTGATTCAACAGGCTATAATGGCACAATTAAATCTGATATATTGAAATTTGATCCCTAAGAGTTACCATTTTGTTTTGAAAACCATTAAGGGATTCTTCACACTTAGTGGACTTAGTAAAAGAAGCTATCTTATCAAATTCAAGAATGTGGGAGGGGTAATGGAACACCACGACTGTTTTCACTTCACAATTTTATATTGGATCAGTAATTTTGTAGCTCTATAAGTTCCGCTGTCCATTAAATACTTTTCATTCCACAGATGAACAAACATGCAGTATGTCTTGAAGAGACCATTTTAGCTTTATAGTTTAACATCTACATTATCAAGAATATTTTTTAAAAGGTGATAGTATTTGTTCAATAACAGAGTTAATAGGGGTATGGAGAAAGTTAATGATCAATTTAGGTGGGTGTATTGAATGAAATCATTTCAAGATCATTTGGCACAAAAATCAAAATATCCTTTAGCCCTCAAGATTCAGTTTATTTCATCGAAACATTAGTTGGTTCATTGATCAAATGATGAAACACAATTGTGTTCCTAATCTTTAAATAACAGTTGATGAAGGGTGATCTATATGCAGTAGATAACTGGATTCAGGCACTCCAGGACTAGGGTTGGAGAAGGCTGCTCTAGACACTGTAGGGAAGCAGTAAAAAGGCAAACAACATGTCAGGATATAGAATTAAAACTGTAGACTTTTAATCAAGGGTTTTTATGTTAAAATTATACAATGCGCCAGCAGGACATCATTTAAATGCTTTTGTGTACAATTATGGTTACCACGTTCCTAAAAAACTATATATTGCTGCTCAGTCCAAAGAAGAGCAGACAGATACATTCTGTGGCTTAAGGCAATGTCCTACACTGACAGACTGAAAGAACTGACTTTTTAGTCATGGATAGAGAAGAATACAAAGGACACAAGAGCAACTATGTGGAACTGCATATAAAACTCGGAACAGGAGGCACTTTTTATCCACAGGGTGGTGGACGGATGGAAAAAGCTATCCATGTTGTTCAAGTTGATATCCAGACGTTTTCAAGAAACAGCTGGATGAGATTCTTGGATCAGTTAGCTACTAACTACCAAATGGGCTTAATGACTCTCTTGTTTGTGACCTTTTTGGTGCTCTTATGTGTACATGGATGATGCAAATTTTCAGCTCTGGAGAGATGATTAAGTGTGACCATGATTTTGTGAAGGTCTTTTTATATGTTAAAAATCAAAATGTAGTTCTTTCCCATGACCTTTGAATGAACTTCTTTATTATTAACAGCTTGTATCTCCAATTTAAACAATCCTGATTAATTCCAACCAGGAATTCTGCTATTTCTGATAAGAACAATTCTTTCAGGTGGGGAGTACATCATTGCAATAAGCACAAGACATTGTCTATTTAGTATTAAAGACAAGGATTAAAAAAACTCCCAAATTGTTCCATTTGCAATCTTGCATGTCAAGGAAAATGCTATCTTGTCCCCAATGTCTTAAATGCGTTTTCTGGACTTTGGTGTAAATAAACGTGATTTCATTGACTTAAATCATGATCAGCCAGGTCCAAGCAAACAAAAACAGTTTTAATCTTAGATTGATCTTAGATTACATGTAATATTTCATATTTAGCTGTATGGGGTGTAGCAGAGTTACAATGTACTCTCATAAGATGTTTAATAATAGATAAATAAATTATCAGTGGTATCTGAATGTCATAATAGTTTTGTCTCAGAAGAACAATCTTTCTATAAGACTAAAGTTTTTAGAAAACAGCATGAGATTCAGAAAATGAATTAGTCAATAATCTGCAACACAACACGCGTTTTACTAATTGACAGGAACACCTCCTATTAAGTAAACTATTTTGTATCAAACCTAGGCATCCTCCAGCAAGTTATCCCAGTTATCATTAAACCTAGAGTTCACAGTTAAAAAACTAGGTTTTTCCCCCATTTATTTCAGGAAAACAATCTGCTGAATGTCTCACTGTCCCTGTTCATAACAGGAATAACTTCCTTTTTTACTTACGAGTACTTGAAATTCTTCCTTAGGGAACTTCAGATTCTGTCAGTATTATATCATTTGCACCTGTTTGTGCCTTGACAGCAGAAACCTGTTTACATTGTGCAATTCTGTTTAAAAACATTGAAATCCAGCTTCAGCAGTTAACCTGACAAAAGCAGCATTAAGGAGGTGAATCCACTGATTCTGTTAAGAAAGCTCCTGCCATGAATGTTTTGTACATACAATGTCAGTGGTGAAATAGAATTCTGGGTGTTTGGAATCTGTGCCTTACAGTTTAAGGTGGCGTACAGTATAATTTTAATTTATATTCTTCTCCTAATCACATGAATATGCTGGTATTGTTTAAAACACTCCCAGCACCTCTTCTGCTGACTTGTGATGCTGGGCTTCACTGTCTCTTGTCTGAAGTTCAAGGCAAATTGTAATGCAGACCCATGTAGCTTGAAACTGAGAACCACCCTTTACAGATATCAGGACTATTCTGTGTTTTGCAGTACCTGCACATCCATGGTGTTCACAGTTTTTTGTATGACCTTCTGGAGTAGACATACAAGGCCAGGCGAACAGATTTTTCTGTCTCCTCTCCTAATGCTTGGTGTTTTGTCTTTAATACATAAGGCTGCAGGGTGTTGTTGGGGAGGGCTCTGTATATTTGCTTTCTTAAGGTACCTAGCATTAAACTACAAGGAAAGGTAAAGAGTAACCCACTAGGGAAAGCCACATTGAAAATTAACTTTAAAAAAATGCACCTGTGCATGGTGTTGATCTAATTGTTTTCGCTGTTGACAATGTATATATTAGAAAATGTGATGGTTGTTTTTTCTGTACATTTGGAGCTATCTAATTTGATAAAAATTATCATTTATTTTTCATAATATTTAAGAGAAATAATACATTTCCTGATATAGAAATATGACTCTAATGTTCCACCGTGTCACCAACCTCTGTCTGCAGAGGGTAAAACTGTACTGTTTAACAAGGCCTTGAGTGGCCAGACACTGTTTAAACAGAAAAGCTATTTAAAGCCCTTGGATGAGCACTACACTCCAGTTTGTAAATACAGCTCCTTTTTTCTTAGAACTTCCGGATCCCTTAATCTAATTTATTTGACATCATGAAAAAGTCACCTGCAAGGTATTTATTACAAATGACAAGTGGTCAACAACACTCATAAATTAAGAGCATTAACCATGCCAGCGTTAAGGGGGAAACAGATCTCCTGTTTCTTGTTAAAAGACAAGGCAGGTCGCAAAAGAGAGGCCACGTCGGCTGTCAATCTTCTCCCATCCCGGGTTTAATGATCCAAGACTCTTGAAGGACCACATCCACAGCATCACTTGTCGGTTTGCTCCTCACACCCACCACCTTTTGTGTAAAGACACGAGAACTAAATTCATCCATCGATTTTCTAACCGATTTAGGGTCGCGGGCGGAGCTGGAGCCTATCCTGGCAGGCAACAAAACCATATTCAGATCCCCCCTTTAAACAAAATCTCACGAAGTCTAATGTGCTGATGTGCGATAGATTTTTTTAGATCTGATGTTTTCCAGCCTGTTTTTCTAATTCTAATATCAGACTATTTCTCCCTCGTATTTTACATGAATACTCTCACATTATTTAAGCACATGAGAGGAGGACAGATCTCTAGACCCAAGCCAGATTGTCCTGTGGCAAGCTTTTAACTGCATCCCCAAAAGACCATGATGCTTTACAGATTGGTGATCTACTTTTGGAGCAAGAGTGGAGGTACATCAGGGAAGCATAAGCCAGGCATTTTCTAACTGCTTTGTCCAATTCAAGGACATGGGAGACGGAATCGATCTCTGCAAGAACGCCAGTTCATCGCAGGGCAGTGACAGAGTGTGACTGCGAGATCCTGAGAGAGAGGATCTTCCCCGGGGATGGAGGATGTCAGTACCACCAATGGAAAGCTGGGAGTCGCCAGGGCAGAGAGAGAGAGAGAGATGAAGTCTTGTGCTGGAACATAAGGTCGATTTCTTTTCAAAGTAAAAAAGCTGACAAGCTGCCAACTTCTAGATTAGGAGGATGAAGTGTAGGCAAGGCTCCAAAAGGGTGCCTAGCTTATCCTTTACTCAGTGAGTAAGCCAGGTGTACACATTAAAGGACTGCTCTGTTTACTCTTATGTCCAAGTTCACCTGTCAATGATCCAACTTGTTTGGTTTTTTTATGTATTTGTACCTGGGATAGAAGCTGGAGTACTTTTGTAATCTTCTTTTCAATCACAACCAACTCAAGTATTAATTCTGCATGTAAAACACAAAACCAGATGGCAAAGAAGGAGTCATAAGCTACATGAACACGTTTTATTGCAATAGCTCTATTGAAAGCAAAATAAGCCAGATAAATATGCACACTATACAGCACTCCAGAGTCATCATCTTCATCCCCCTGCCCCCCCAGAAAACAACAAAATGCCACCATGGCTCAATTAATAGGAAAACCACGCAACAGTATTTACAGTGGAAGACGCAGCCAGAGACTCGGTTCAAAAGTGACCTTTCCCTCAAAGACACTCGCTGCAGAAATAATCCACACATGAACACACATCCACTGTGAATACTTCCATTCTGTACAGCCTAAATAACAGCTTCCATTTATCAAATTAAACACACAGAACGTAGCAAAGACATTATCTTATCATTAGCATCAGTTATTTATACTTTACAGCAGCAAATCAAATTTAAATACAAAACAGTGTACAGAGGTTTACAAAACTGCAAAATGTTTTTTTTTCTTTCCTTTAATGATATGTTTTTAGATTTTTTTTTTAACTTTCTCGTACTCTTTAGAAACCCATCCGGCATTATACCAAACAGCTAATTCAGAACTGTAAACTAGATAAAAACAAATTTCAAAACAGTTGCATAAAGTTTATGCTGTACCTGTACATTTTATCGTAGATTTTTTTGAGGTTATTTTTATTTACCATCTAAATCAGTGCTTTTACTTCAAAAATGGCAGATATTTTAACAAATCATGACACTACAATTTGATGCAAAAATATTTCAAAACAAGAAAAAAGGTACCAAGGCCAAAGGTCATTAAATATTATGCTAAACATTAATTTAACTAAACAGTTTCTCTCTTCTATGTCCTAACATAAACAGCTTTTTATACACGGATGCCCTTCGTACCCGGGTTCATCTGGGACATGAACAGAAGTGACCGCTGAGCTCATTCCACTTCTTTTTCTGGTGAGCCACAACACTTTTCTTCCACTTTCATTGAAGAGGTATATTGTAATTTGTGGGAAACATAAATCAACTTGACCAAGCTGAAAAAACAATCAACTTCAAACTTTGTAAAGAAAAAAATCACAATTATTTCAGTTTTTCAGAATGTTGGAAGGACACACAAACTGGAAAGGGTTATTGTTTCAGCTGGGTTGGGATAATTTGTGTTATATTTAGTGCTGTCGTAGGCTGGTAATTTGATCCATTCTGTAACAAAACATCCTAAAAATATAAAAAGGTAGCATATTATTCTCTGACTAAAAGATCCAGATGCATTTTGTTTGCAAAATCTGTCCTATGTTTACAACTTACTGAAAGGGAGAACAGCTTTCTTTTTACTTGCATATGACAAAACAGTACTCATGTCTGAGGTTGTGAGTAAAAGCCCAACTAACTTTTTTCCCCCCAATGTCCATCTACTTTTGCAATATTTTTCTAAATTAAAGTGCATAGAAACCCAAGTACCACTGAAAACAAAACTTGTGAGCTGAAAGAAGGTTTCTGTAAAAAATATAAAGTTTACAAGATTTGCGATGGGTTTATGTTTCTTTATGCCCGCAGTTGTATAAAAAGTGAACAGCAAAGGAGTTCAGCTCTGGCCCTACCCAGATACCCCATTCTGTCTGTCTAAAGTAGCTTGGCATTGTGCAGGTAACAAAGTCACACTGCAAACCACGCAGAAGAATAGACTGCACAAACAGCACTTTATACCACATGATGGAAAAAGAGCACAAATTGTGTGTAACACTGTCGTTCGGAGAAAACCCAGTTGGTTTTGCATAGCAGTTATCACAGAAGAGAATGCTCTTTCCCTCCCAGTATTTGCAGGCAGGTCTTTTTGTAATTGTGTTTGTGGAGCTTGTGGAAATGGACTTTACCATCACAAATGTTTGAGGTAAGCATCCATTAAGAAAAACGCTACGCACATCCAATCCTGCCGAATACAAACCATCTAACAGTGGGCAGCGCTTCATATTTAGACATATACTAGTACTCATTTTTTAGTCTTGCATTACTTACATTCATTTTGAGAAATAAATGTTTTAATTATGGGAAACTTCAATGCGATAAAAATAATGATCTCTTGTTTTTAGGACCGACAGTGCCATTGTACAAAATCGCTGTTGCTCTAAGTACACTCAATTACATAAATCCTTTTGTGTGATGCTCAAATGTAAATCTCTGTGCTGTCTGGTAGAAAAGTGACATCAGTCCTGTAATGTATGAGCTATGAACACCGTTAAAAGATCTGTTTAACTGTGAAACCAAAAAAGCCCATTTTCAGCACTATACTGCATATCAATTCTATCATGTGCAACACAGAGCTGCACTGTGGTACTTGCCTCTAATCCTGTTTGCCACTTCACTCTATCTGCTGAACAAAACTTCCTGGGATACTATGTACTTGATTACTGCAAGATATGCATATGTCTTAATGATTAGGAAAAAAAAAAACACAGGACTATCCTAATGAATGGATACGGCCAGCATGTTCAAAGGAACAGTATGGAACTCTTTTTTCTGACAGGTTTAATCACTTCAGTCCATCTGGGAAAATCTTATAGGGACCGCTCTTTAACGACTAAAGCTTCAGGGTCTCTCTCCAAAATGGGGGTCTCGTGTTCTGCCCAAAAAAAGTCATCCTGGTCATGCCTAAAGCAGCCATTTGTACAACATGACCCAAAAGGTCGAGTTCTCAACTGCGGCAAAAACAAAGGTATCTAGTTCTGTGACTGTACTTGAACAGTTCACAGTTAAAAAGAAAATAAACAAATAATATCCAAGATAAGTGGCTGTGGAATAAACAAACCATTTTGGTAGGGTGGGGGTATTTTAAATGCTAAAATATCTGCTTACAACAAAGATGAGAGATGTGTTATAAATACACAACTTAATTATATCGTTACATCATACATTTTTCCTGTAGATTTTCAAGTCACATTAAAATTATCTGAAGGTCAATTTGTTTCAATTAGAAAATCATTTCAGATGCAAGGTTGTATATTAAACTATTTTCTTTTACAAGTGGGGTGTACTTTATATTAATATTGAAGGACTTTGTCATCAAGAGGGCAAGTATGTATGCCCTGCCTCGTGTTTTGTTTGAACATGGTTCAATAGGGAAACAAGAAAACTACAGCCAGGCAACCTTACAATTACAACAGGTTGAGTAAGGGTATGGATACGGGTATGCTGGTTGATTTATATTTGCCAAGTCAGACGTAGGGCACTGCAGATGGCCATGGCCTTGTCAATCACTGCAGAGAATTCCCCAAGAGCACATACTGTACTGTTCACTCCTGTTCTCAGCTGCCCTCTGCAGTAAAAGCTACTGTCGTACATATATCTGTTTTTTGTCTGCACTCAAAAAAGAAAGCCAGTGCCGGTGCTATGCTTTAGCCTCCCTAAAGCATCTATTCTAAACAGAACCAAGGATATAAGCAAAATGAAATGGACAGAAAAAGTTGCAATCATTGAGTACCAAAGCTCCTTTCTCCACAATCTCCAGTAAGTACCCAGGACTACAGAGCCAGATTTGTACCACGCAAAAAGAAATAATGAGCAGATTCTGACAGAACGCAGGGTATGTGCAAAGGTTTTATGCATCAAAATAAAATAAAAAACAAGCCATTGCAATAGTAAGACTAGGTAATGCTCTTTTGTCAACTCTCAGTCTATATAAAAAGCTTTAATGAGGTATGTGTGAGGTTACTGTAACTTGAATCAGATTTTTTTCTAGTGTTTTCCCGTGTAGTCTCCTGCAACAACATTGCATTGTGGAACCTCTCATCCTTACTGATTTCTCACTGCTTTAAAGGGTATGCCAATGTCATTTTTACAGCTTCCATAAAAATGCCTTTAAATGTCCGCAGGAAGTTTACAGCTCTTGCTGTTCCGCCAGTCCCAGCCCAGCCTGTAATGCTGCCTCTTGCCCACTTCTTTGGGAGAACGTGCTACTGATGAACGGCAGGCATCTCCTTGCTTCAACAGGCACTGGGCGCGTGGAGAAAAGTCCTGGGGTATGAGCTTGTGCAGACTTTCAACGAATCGACTGTGTGCTTTAGTTGACAACGCAGTATAAACCAGCCCTCAGAAACCTGTACAACTGTACACAAAGGCATTCTTCATTTAAGGTTTGTCAGTTGAAATCAAAAACAAAACGTGAGGTGCTGCTGTTGTTTCCAATGCTTTTCCTGACGAATTCACACATGCATGACTTCATCCCATGGCAAAGAGATCAAGAATGGACAGCTGAGTCTTAACCACTAGCAAACAGGGTGGAAATATTTCACAAACAAGGCTCCCATTTTTTTAGTGTTCTGTACCACAAAATAAAAATAGTGCATTTTGTACCAAAAAAAACAGTCCTGTAAACTGTTTCGTACCAGTTCGTTCTGCTGTATATCTCCAAAACCTCACATGAAGTGTACAGCAAACTCCAGTTTTTGTTATTTTGTCCATACAGACATGATAGTACCCCAACACTTTAAAACTTTTTTTTTGCCTACATGGACAATACCGTAAATGATAAAAGCAGAAGACTTTTTGGTCATTAGTACATAATAAATTATGTGGATTTTAGAGCACTGTTTTTGTCTGCTAGTTGAAGGTGATGACTGAAATGGAAAACCTCCCCACCCCCATCCCAACCCTGACTAGGCCAGGATTCCAGTCCAACCAGCACCTGATTGAGCACTTGAGCTGGATCAGAACCCTGCTCTGCCAGGAGGGGCCAGGACAAGGTAGGGAAACGCTATACAGAAGACATTCTGCCATGGCTGAGCACAGCCCAGGACTACAGCGTGCCTTGACCTATCCATTCACAAGGAAGGTAAACATGGAAATCCCATCGGAATGGCCGCTCCAGACCCTGTATCAGATCCTTTTGTTACAAGCCGTTGCCTCACCACGTTACCCAACAGCTGATTGTCTGGTGAGCATGAGCAGACAGCAAAGGTGATCGAGAGACGTGTCCTGCAGGCTTTGCTCCCTGGAGCAGCAACAGTGGTGAGACAACAAGCAAAAAAACAGCACTTTGGGAGACAGTTCTCTGTAAGACGACAGAGTGCCATGAAAGGGCTTTGCAAAGAAATTTCCAATCAGGAATCAGACAGGATAGGGGGAAGAGGAACCAGCTCACATTGGCCAGGTGATGAAACATCTGGCTAATCTCATCAGCACTAGGAGTATTCATATATTTTTACTGTAGAGGATGGTGAGACAGACTGTGCCAAAAACAAATGAGACTATTAAAACAGGGTTCACTTAGGCATTTTGCATTTTTTAAAGAAAGTACTTCAATCTTTCTAGCAGTATTGGGTATTTCCACACACTATCATGTGTTTTCACCCATAGGTCTCTATTTGCACTACGAACTTAAATATATTTTATATAGGAAAGAAAATCCTCACTTACGTGTGGCAACACCTGCAGTGACAATAAGGGGTTTGACTTGTTTTCCAGGCCTGCTCAGATTAGTTGCCAGTAACAACTGCAAACCTGCAGTGGCTATTAATTATAGTCTGAGAGGTTTCTGATACGTGTGTGAATGGAAATACCAGCATATTCCTGGTAATACTATTCATCTGCCAGGATGCCACCTGCCTCCGCCGTGCAGAAAATCACCTGAATCCGTGAGCAAGGTTTTCCCTCCCATTTCTGTCACTTCCGTAAAAGGGCTTTCTTTAGGCTTTCTGGCTGCTTCGCTGCACAGCGGGAAACCCTTAAGAGAGAGAACACTCAGAAAAGCATCTGCTTGTATCATACGACCCCACTCTGACACCAGATCACCAGTATCGCAGGTGTAAAAGGAGAAACATCAGGGCTTACACCATGAAGAAGCAGGTCAAACCACTGGCCTTTGGCACTGCTGCTCAGTAGGTATTGGGGGCTGGATAGAGTATCAGATCATTTGGCTGAGAGTGAATTTTAAAAGTCCAAGTATAGATCCCCATTTGTCAAACACATACTTGGCAAGTGGTCGACTCAAAATGGGGTAAGGCGGGGAGGGGGGGTTCTACAGCCTGACTGTCATTCTCAGATATTCACAGCATGTTGCACTTGAACCAGGCTTTGCTTTAGCAGAGCTGCTTTCTGCCACCTGAGCCTCAAAGTGCAAGAGCAGAAATAGGAGCAACAATTCCGAGGTGGTGGGTAGGGTTTGAACCTCGCTGAACTGTTGTGGGATAAACTGCGATCCTCAGAGTAAGAAACCAAAGTAGAAATAAATAATAACATGCTAGATGTAATGCTTGTAAACTCTACTGGCTGATCAGCTGGCCAGACTGCTCAGTGTTGACCGCCCTGGGCTCTTCAAGGAAAAATAAAACATTCTTTAGGTCACGTCAAGGTGCTCCACTCAAAACGGCAACCACTCCACAGATTAGAAAAAGTACTTGGTTTTAAATAATCGCTATTCAGTTGTTGGTGCTGCTGCTGCTGGATATAAAGGGGAAAAAAAAGCCTTCTCTTTTGGGGTGCGTTTGAGGGGTCTGCAGCTGGGGTCAAACCGGAAATGGTGGGGCTGCTTAAAAGGGGCATTGTAGCTCACTGCCGTCGCAGGGTCAGACCACAGCAGCCGGGTTTGGAAACTGACTCGATGCATGTTCTTCAGTCTGTGAAGGAAACGGAGAAAAACATTTAGGATACACAGTACAGAGAAATGTCTGAAATCAACTTACAAATCATGAAGCCGAAGACCGGCACGTTAAATTTATATTTTATAAAGTTCAACATGATCTAAATGATGTGTGTAACAAAGAGAAAAGTATATTTCCAGACTACCAGTATAAACATTTTTCCCCAATCAAAAAGACCAACCTTTTACATTTACATCTGGTTATAATCTAGGCCAGAGATGTTGATTTAACCCTTGGGCTATGAAGCCCTAAATATATTTTGTTTAGCAAATGATTAAAAATTCAAATAAAATAATTAACACAATTAAGTAGTTAAAATTGGAGGTGGTATGAAAACCAGAAAACAATGCAGCCACTAGGGACTGGAGTTGCTCACTCATTCCCAGTAATTATTCTTATCATCAATAGGCATTCCACTATATCCCTAATAGTTGAAAATCCTGGTACCATTAACTTATTTCCACAAGCACTTTTCAATCTTTGGCAGTACTGTGGTATCTTTTCCATCAGGTTTATCCCAAAACAGTTCTGCATGAAGCAAATCCAGGCACAGGAAGTAATGAGATCATGTTTTACAGAACAGCCTGTTCTCCTTTTTTTCCTATGTAGTACCTGCAGGTTTTAGATCTCTCTGTGGGTTACTGTCCTGTTGTGTGTTTCTTAATTTACAATTATGACACACTGGTCTGTGCCATACCGTACAGTAAACAAAGTTATTTCCATTGGAGTTTCATTGTAATGCAGTTAAAAAAAAAAAACATTTGCATCTTTTCTATTACCTTATAAAACCAGCTGAAAATCTCAAACAATCATTCCTGTAATTTTATTTTCTAGCTACTGGATTTTCAACCTTTACCAGGGATTATAGGAAACAAGTTAATTTTCCTCAAGTTAAACACTTCTTTTACATTTTTCCCCCACAAATTTGCTCAAGTTGTACTTATTCATATCATCTCTTGAAATGGAAAAAATAAACAATACATAGAAAAATGTGAGAATTCAATGAAGTCTGAAAAGGACCTAAGAGAAGACCGATATGTGCTAAGCATGTATTTGTACTTGAAGCATTTTAGTTTAACATCAATAAAACAGTATTTTATCAAGAATTAAAAGAACGGAAAAGGCAGGAGAAACATTCTGAGGTCTGACTTGAGAATATCGCCGGAATATCTGGAAAAAAAGAAACAAAACCCTTCAACAAGTCTGAAGAAATAGTTTGTGAGGACTGTGATTTGAGTGAAATAAGATGAAAAGGCATTGGGCAAGTCCTGAAAACCAACACAGCCTTCTTCATGACTTTAATGGAAAAGCGGCCGACATCATGGACCTTTTTTTGTACATCCCTCACAACCCTCCCCTCCTGTAACAGCAGCTCACAATTGCCACCCTCGCATCACCTGGAATGTCTATGCACTGCTCGCCTGCTCGCTCGCTCCACTGGCACTCTCACTGCGGGCTCGGGTGGTCATAGCCTTGGATGACACAACTCCTATTGTCCGTGTCTGATAAAGAGCTTTGTTTGTTGAAACAATTCCAGGCCAAGCACAATACAGATGCTTTCGAAACGGTTCAGCTCTGTCAGTCTGGCATGGATAGAGTGTTTACTCACACTGTCCGGCCTCAGAGCCAGCACTGCGCACCACTGTCCCCGCACTTCGAGCCACTGGACTAATTTCATGACGCGCTGCTTTTGAAGAGGGTCTTCGGAGGAGGAAATGGTTCAACCATGAACTGGCATAGGTTTAGAATACCCCTTGTGGATGAAGGGTCTTCCTCAAGTTTTTCCGATTAAGAGATGATCTAAACAATCAGCTTCACTGCTCCACAATACTGGAGGAGCTGCGTAACAGAAGACAACTGGACAGCTTTCCCAGAAAAAAGAGAACATGATAGGCTATCAGATTCGAAATGATATAGTAGTCCCGAGTAAAGAGTTTGTAGATCATGAAGGAAATGATTACCAGTCCTATAGAGGTACTTAACTCTACACCGTAACTCTGTTCTGTAGAGGTACTTAACTCTACACCATTAAATATTATATCTGCTTCTTTAAAGTTATTTGAACTTGGTGTAAATCAAGTAAAACATCTGAAGTATTCGTCAATCTCTACATTTGTCTCTTTTAGCATTACTGTCACCCAAATCACTATCATCGTTAAAATTTCTATGCAGGGTTTGGTCAGAAATGCTATAAAGGTGCTGGATGCAGCTGGAAAGTGATGAGAGAAAAGAGAGGAGTGACCCTGCTGAGCCTTTGGTGAGCACAGCCACAGAACTCCATAAGAAGTCTAAGGTCTCAGCTTTTTTACACTTTTGCTCCCATTTCCAGAAGCAAAACACAACAGACACACTATGGATATCCAAGCTGGCCCTTTATGAAAGTAACAATGCAATGGGGAAACTAAGTAAGTGGAATGTCCAGGGGTAACACTGATTTCCAAATGAACCCACTAATTTCAGTCCAGATTTAATTGCTGTACTATTCTTCTTTCACCTTTACAATGGATCAAAGTAACAAAAGATGCCAAGCAAAGGTTCAGTTTATTTGATTACAAACACAGCGACACAATCAAGTGCATACTTTCAAATCAAATATTTTTAAGGGACTTCCAAAACAAAAGCAGGAAACAAATGGTTAACAGATCTGTTCTGTGGGCCTGCTGTCTGGGTATTAACTTAGGGGTAATGCTTTTGCACTTCAGAGTCAAATAGAAGTGACACTTTATTAGAAGAAAAATGTCATTATGAAAGCTGGAAGACTTCAACTTGTCTTGAAACCACAGGGAGCTGGCCGATATCATACATGTTTACACTTGCTACATTATTCCTGCATCCAATCAAGGCATTTATGGTATGTGTTAAGAAACGAATCGGTGACAGTTATCAGGTGAATATTTAAAACAAAACACTGAACGTATTTGTGTGAAGTTGTGGGATGTTTTAATGTAAGCTCTTTCAGCTCAGGATAGATGAAAAGTTGTCCCGTCAGTTCTTTGGTTCTTGAGCCTCAATTTGCACTGCACAGATTTATATGGACTTCTTACTTCCACCTTAAAGAATTACTGGCGTCATGCTAGAGAATCGAGAGAACACGTCAACTGCTCCTGCAGAATGAGTCACAGGCAAAAGATGCGAGTCAGCAACTGAGCCAGGCATAACCCAGCACACTTCCTGGTAACAAGTATTCACTGTAAACACTGGACATCCCAGCCTTATACAATTAATGGCATCTCCAAGATGAAGCAGAAAAGGTACCCGATATGGGAATAAATATTAGGGTACTTGGCCACACCACCAGTTGCACTTGGTGCCACATCACATTTTCGAACTCTATATCAAGACAACACATTTGAATAACAATAGAGCTCTGCACAAACATGATCTCTCTACTCATGGAACCAGAGGAAATGCTTTGTTAATGGATTTTAATGTCAGCCTTGACACCAAGATCATACAGCTATAGCAGAGAGGAAGATGAAGATGCATAAACGCATCTGTATAGGTTTGCAGTCTTCTGCCATCACACAGGGCCTGGTGTCAATGCTCATGTAGGAGGGCCAACCTTTACACTGCCAGACATACCGCTGGGAAACTACTGTCCACCTTTTCCAGGTTTTTTCATTAGTTAGTGCTTAAGTTACTATATAACGAAAGATGTTCATACTGATGGAGCAGAGGTCTGGTCCTTACCCAGGTGTCTTTCCACTCTTGTGCTGCTTCTCTCTCATCAAGAATCTGCTCCTCTTTAATGAGATAAGAAGGCATAATCCGGTCTTGGAGCCTTACAATGCTCTGGTGTAAACTCTACTCTCACTGGCTGCCTCTATTTCTAAAGCCAGTGCTTCTTGTTACAGGCTTACCACAAATACCCTTATTGTGTCCCAGACAGCGTTGCCGGTTATTAACTTCCATCACAAGAGATGTTAAAGCTGCCTCTCAAGGTGTTGAGCTTAACCTCTTCAGAGCAGCTTTGTCAGCAGGTTGTTGAATTACTTGAAATGTTTGTGGTGGATGTTATTGGAGATGCCACGAGCAGATATAATTTTAGAACCCATGTTACTCCCACTTTGTACTTCCCAGTGTCTCATTTACTACAATAAATCCAGGTCTGGACTTTAATACAGAATGGATGTTCGGTATACACACCATCAGTCTGGAAGAGGGGTAATCGAAAAGACCAGACATCATAATTCCAGGCCTAACCGGACAGTGTGGTATACTCAAACAGAACGGAAACTGAGATTCAGTCACTGAAGTACTGAAGTCCAAAATGGGATTGAATCAGCCTTACAGAGAATTGCCAAATCGCCTTGAAACATCTCTTTCGAAGCATGGATTATGGGATTAGTACTGGAGTTTAGACTTCTCTTCATTAACACAGTTTAGGTTTTCCCCAGCTTCAGTGGTAGTGGTACTGGTGTAATCTACACAACAAAATAACCTCATCGCTAGGTGGAGTAGAACATGACAAAATTCAAAAGACTTCATGAGGGCCTACTTTTTAAATCTGCTTTAGTATAAAATCGGTCATTGGAGATCATCCCATATGTATTAAACCATATGGATATTTGAATGCTGAGGTGACGGACAACACATCACACTAAATCCATGTTAGGCACAGGACTTCGAGGTAAACTGCTGTGCACAACTTGTTTATTCTCAAAAACCAGTGGAGCAGAAGCTGTTGAGCCTACCACGTGACAGAAAAAAAAAAACGCATCTCCAGTCTCCCAAAATCAACTATTAAGAGCTGTATCACTGAAATACGCTAAACATTGTTTGGACTGTGCAAAGTATTGGCTGTCGGGTTATTTCAAATAATAACCTTTATTCCTGATCACACTAGATCAGTCCCTTTACCTCTCCCATTTGCAGTGTCCATCAATTAAATGCACAAGTGGCAGGTGTACCATTTCAAAGCAAAGCACAAACCACGAAACATGCACTGGTCCTTCACAGCAGACAATGGAAGTGGT